ATTGTTATTATAATGATAACAAATATATTTATAATGAAGAAAATTTAGATACAGACTATTCATGTCCTTGTAATATGAATAATGGAGTATTTTGTATTATTGATATATTATCAAATAATGAAATATTTAAATTAGATAAAAAGACAAGTGAATTAATTATTAAAGAATCAATAAATATTGAAATGGAAGAATCAACAATCATTTTAACTATTTTAGAAAATGATATAAATATTAACATTAATGGTAATAAAAATTTAATTCATTTAAGTTCAAATAATTCGACTAGAATTTCTTTTACAGGAACAGAAAATACTGTTAATATTTTAACAAATGGATTAACACTACAACCAATTAATAGTAATTCTTTAATAGTTACTAATAGCGAAATAAATTATTGTACTATTTTATATTTTAATGAATTACGTTCTTTTAGTTGTTTAAAATGTGGAGATTATATTCCAAATAATGGAGAATGTCCAAAACATAATATTATTAAGAATTGTTTAAAATATATTAATAGTGGGCAATGTGTAGAATGCAAAGAAGGGTATTATTTGGTTATTGATGAAAAAAATCAAGCTCAATGTAACAAATGTGGAGAAGGTTGTTTAAGATGTACTTCTAGTAGCTGTATACAATGTGCAGAAGGAAAAGAAATAAATGGAAATGAGTGTAAAAATGTTAATACTGATAATTGTGAAATATATAAAAATGAATATTGTTTAAAATGTCCAAAAGGAACATTTAGTCAAGATTTACAAAATTGCAAAGAAGAATGTAATGAATCATGTGAATTATGTTATTCTGATAATTCAATGTGTCCAATTTGTAATACAAAAGAATTATATTTTATGAATAATAATGAATGTCAATTAACTAGTTTTGCATTAAGTGTAACTCATAAGAATGAAATTATATGTAAAAGTGGATATCATTCTTCATCTAATAGATGCAAACCATGTTCAGATGGATGTTTAGAATGTGACACCGAAAAATGTATTAAATGTGATGAAAATTATTTATTATCATCAGGAAAATGTTTAAGTAATACTGGATGTAATAAAATAGAAGAAGGAAGATGTTTAAGTTGTAAAGAAGAAAGAAATTATTATAATATAGAAGAACATAAATGTCTCGAAATAGCTTCTGATTGTGAAACAATTGATTTAAAAGGTAATTGTATTGAATATATAACAAAAAAAAGTTATATCAATAATATTAAAGAAAGTTTTATTCAAACAAATGAAGTAGATTGTGTAATGAAAGATGGAGTGTGTAGAGTTTGTCCTGATGGTTATTATTCAAATAGAATAAATTGTAATAAATGTGGAGAAAAATGTATTAGTTGTAAAGATAATACCAATTGTAGATTATGTGAAAAAGGATATAGTGTTGATGAACTTGGAAATTGTGTTAATACAACAATTCCATATTGTACGAATAAAATAGATAATTTCTGTATTAGTTGTGAAAATGGATATTATCCTAATGGAATTACATGCGAGCCATGTATGAATGGATGTATTACATGTATTAGTAAAGATAAATGTCTTCGTTGTTCATCACAATTTTTATTAAATGAAGGCAAGTGTATTACAAATGAAGAAGCAAGAAAAGATAATTGTATTTCAATAGGAACAAATGAATGTAGAGAATGTGAAGAATCATATTATATAAAAGAAGGAAAATGTGAATCATGTGAGGGTATTGTCAAACATTGTTTAAAATGTAATACAATAAAAGAGATTTGTATAAAATGTGAATCAGAATATATAATGATTGATGGAAAATGTATACATTATTCAGAAATGTCACATTGTAAAAATGCATTAGATGGAAATTGTAATGAGTGTGACAATTGGTATGCATTAGCATATGATAGAAAAGGATGTGTAAGATATACATCAGGATGGAGTGTAGCATTAATAATAATAGGAATAACTTTATTTATTGGATTAGTAATATTATTATTAACTATAATTATTATTAACTATAATAAATATGAAGAAAAAATTAAAATGAAAAGGATGAATGGAATTTTTGCATTAAGACATTGTACTGTTACAATGATGAATTATCCTACTGTTCCATCTATTTTAACTAATACCACTTTAATTGAATTCCAAGAAACAATGGAATTAAATAAAGAATATACAAAAGGATTTTATATTGGAAATAAAGGAAAAAATATAGTTGAAATATCATTTAAAATTAATAAAGACCAAAGGTTTAGAATAGAATTTAATCCAGAAAAATTAATTTTACAACCAAATAAATGTTGTTATATTAATTTGTTATTTATGCCATATTGTTCATTTAATATTCAAATTCCATTTCAAATTATTATTGTTGAAGATAATATTAAAAAAGGAATATTAGATTTTAAATTTAGTGCAAATACTATTGAAAGTTATAATATTGATCCTAATTTAATTCAATATGATATGGTATTAAGAGAAAATTATAATATTATTGTAACAAAAGGTTATTACAATAATACACCAGTAATTATTAGAAATATTGGTATGTTTAATTATACTGGTGATGAACAAAAAGAATATGAACAACCTCTTACCATTTTAGAAGCATTAAATTCAAATAATTATATAAGTAATTATATTGGTAAAGTAATGTTATTTAATAGTAATTTAATTATTACTGAATTTGCACCAATGGGAACTTTACAAGATATTATTGATAAAAAATTAGAATTACCTCCTTTATTACGTTCTCGTATTATTCTTGACGCAGCAAAAGGAATAGCACTTCTTCATTCAAAAAATTATTTACATTATAACATTAAACCTGCAAATGTTTTATTAATATCTGATGATTTAAATGAATGTTCTGTTGCTAAAATAACTGATTTTGGTTATCAGTCAAATTATAAAAAATTTAGCAATCATAAAATTGAAGTTATTGATCGCCCTACTTATATTGCACCTGAAATTATGACTGGTCAAAAATTTACTTCAAAGGCTGATATTTATTCTTTTGCTTTAACAATGTATGCTATTGATACTCTTAGTAATCCTTATCCACTTAATGAATTTCCTTATCCTTGGTCTATCTCTAAATTTGTTTGTGTTGGTAGAAGATTACCTCAACACCCAGAAATGGGAAAAGCTTTATATGATATTATTACTAATTCTTGGGAACAATGTCCAGCAGATAGATTTTCAATAGATGAAGTTGTTCATGATTTAAAAAAATTACAAAATTAATTTTAATTCTTCTTATTAATAACATTTTTTTTTTATAAAACAAAAAAAAATAATAAAAATAACATGATTTTTGAAAACAAAATTTAATTGCAAACATAAGGATAAACTGCTTCGTATGATGCTTTATCATCTAATATTCCTGTATGTGTATATTTTCCTAAATTTTTAAATGTTGTTGCTCCAATATTCTTACAAAATTCTAATGAATTTAAATTTACTGTTTCATCTCCATCTCCATATAAAAGTTTACTATCACTATCATAACTTTCATTTTCCATTTCTACTCCTTTAATACTTTCATATCCTGATGATATCATACAATGCATTTTAATAGGGAATGGTAATTTATAATTATATTTTTCATATAATTCTTTCATTCCATGTTGAACTGTATGAAGATAATTTTCTTGAAATTCTTTATCATCTAATGTTTTAATTAATTCTTCTATTTGATCTGCATTATATGTTTTTCCTGTTGATTTAATTTTCATTAAGATTTCTTCTCCAAATATTTTTGTTCCTCCTATTGGTAATAATAATGCAACTGTTTCTGTTCTTCTTGCAAATGGTCTAAGTTTTGATGCTCTAACAGGAAGTCCAAGATTATTTCCTGGAAATGCTGCTGCAATTGCTTTTCCTGATCCAAGGAATGGTGTTGACATTGCAATCCAATTATCAATATATTTATCTGAAAATTCTTTTCCTACATAATCTAAAAATTTATAAAACATTAATCCTCCCATTGAATGGGAAATAACAACTACTTTCCCATATTTATTATATGTATTAATTATTAATTCTTTTGTATCTTCAAACCAATTTCTTTTATGTTTATATTCTCCATATCTATAATATCTCCAATCATATGATGCTCCTACCATATTATCTCCATCTACATATCCTAATTTCTTAAATTTCTTAATTAAATCATGAAAACATTTTGCAAATATGGATAACGGAAAATTGGGATCAATTTCATCACATGCATATGTACTTCCAAATTTAGGAGAAATAATATTAACTCCTTCTATATCAATTTGCTCTTTTGTTTCTGAGTTCCATGTTGGAGTAAGATATCCTAAAGTACAATCATTATTAAATGGATTTAAATCTTTTAAAGCAATCCATAATCTTTGATGATTGAGGTGAGTATCACAATCACTTTGTAAAGGAGTTTGAGAAATATCAGCAATATCTACTTCAGCTTCTAATATTGAAGCAAGAATTCCTGGAATAAATACAATCGGTTTTTTAGCAGGACATTTTTCTGCATAACTGTTTGAGATAAAACATAAAACAATAATGATCAATAACACAACCATAATTTGGATTTAATTGTAATGAGATATTCCTTCTTATTTATAATTTCCAATATTTTTTTTCTTTCCTCACTGAATTTTCTTTATGATATGTTATTCCTATTTTTATTCTTTTTCGATTTTCTAAGCCAAGAATGTCATAAACTTCCCAAACTATCTTTTCTTTATTTTCTCTTTTCCATTTTTCTATTGTATTAAATAGGACGTTCGTACTGTTTCTTTTTTACTTTCTCTTTTTCTTATTATTTATTCATCTTTGGCAGCATTTTGCTGTCAAAATTCATCAATTAAACCATCGATTTTTCTATAGTTTGTATTTAAATCTTTGTAAATCCGTTCAAAATAACAAAAGTGTTATTTTCGTGTGTTTTAAAGAATATTCCTTTTGTTGTTTTTTTTCAAGAGACAAATCTATTTATGTGTTATATAACATTATTAAAAATACATTTCTATTTATTTTTTAGAAAATTGAACAAAAATAACATAGGAAAAAAAATAAGTTTAAACAAAAACTTACTAATAACACTTGAATATACAGACAAAATACAAAGAATTCAATATCCTTTGGTTTGTATAAGGAAAGATAGATCGGTTTTATCAATAAAAATAACAAGTTAATGAGAGGAAAAATAAGGAGTAATTCATAAAAAGAATAACATTGTCTGATAAAATAGTTTTGTAAAATTATTTCTCAAAGATCATCTAAAGTTAAAATACTATCAAAAGAGTAAACATATTTAATATAAATTTGCATTAAGAACGTATATGTCTGAATAAGTAGCTGAAAAAACTTTTTAATTATAGATTCTTATCAAAAGAAAACTGAATTTTAAAATACATACATAAACAAAGTCAATAATTATTATTGTTATTATTATAAACATAATTATTAGCTATCTTTGTTTTTTTTTGATAAATTATTAGTTTTTGCTTGAATAGTCTATTAATTGATAAACTTATATTGGTATATACTTTTGTTTAGTTGATTTACTGATATTTTGGTGTTATTTTAGTGTTTCTGTTTAATTTAGAACTTTGTTTTATTGAATATTGACATTATATAAATAGTTTTATTATTTGTAATAATTAATAATATTTATTACTCTTCATGTAATACTTAACAGATAATTTTATTATTTTATGAAACAGTAATGATAATTATTTAAAACAATACGATTTCACTTCGTTTTATAATAACCAATAACAGTTTTTAACTAGAATAGTTTATATATTATTTTCATCTAGTTTCTATTTATTTATAATATTATTTCATCAACTTATTAGTACAATATCATTTACTGTTTAATTATTAGTATTTTATCTCAACATCAGAAGATGTTGAATTATAAATATCCTAATATCTTTCATTGGTACTTGTTTTATTTATTACTCTCAATTTTTCATCTTAAATTTTGTTTCTATTAGTTTACTCATATTATTATTTTTATTATGAGATGACTAAATAACAGTAGTTTATATTTTCGAATATAACAGTTACTCATTATCTTGAGAAATTATTTATTATTGTTTGTTTTATATAATCTATTATTATTATTCACTCTTCCATATATTGATGTTTGAATTATTTTATTATGTCTAATATTTCCCTGATTTAGTTCATCATATTTCTGTTCTTTAGAATATTCAAAGTGAGTTAATATATCTTTCACAATAAAAATAAATTAAAAGATCAGAAAACAAAGCAAGAACAGAAATAAATCAAAGAAATAAAATGTTGAATTTATTTTACTTATTGATGAATATTTCAATATCCATGTTATAGTTATTAAAATGGGCTTCTTATTAATCTAATGAGTATTATAACCGTCTCGTATTTATTTAGTTTGTTTGGTTTAAACTTTCAAATATCAAAACAAAGTGAAATGGAAGAATTGGTAAATAACAAAATTATTATATAAGTAATAAACCACTTCCAAACATACAATTAATTGAAGAAGTAACAAAACAGTACTAATATCATTGAGGAAGTAATAAGAGTGATATTTGAAAAACAAGAAAAAGAATATCTGAGAGGATAAATGAAGAATTCAGAAGAATGTAGTGATAGAAAAAGGAAAAACAATGACAAGTTAAATAGAAGAAATGAAGAATACAATTGAAGTAATAATGAAAGGTTGTGTTAATGACAAAGAGGTGTTAAGATAAAATAAAGAATAAATTAATAGACAAAATCATTAAAATATAAGAAATGAAAATTGAAGGTTAAAATCAAAACACTAGAAGAAAAATTTAAGATTTAACCAAGAAATTATAGTATTAAAAAAATTTAGAAATAAAAACGAAAAATGGAAAAGAGTGTGGTGAATATACTAAAAGAAAGAAGAGATTGGGGTTATGAAAGAAAAGAAAGAATTAGAAAAAATGGACAGCAAAAAGATTAAGAATTGATACATTTGATTCTAATAATGATAAGTTGAATAAGAGTATTTCAGTCTCTGACAAAACATTGTATGAAAAAGAGCATATATTAATTATTATGAAGATAATAAATAATGGAAATATGATTCTAAATTTAATAAAGTTAATTGTTTTATTAATGACTAAAATTTATTTTTATCTTCACTAAAATTAATGGAAGAATAATCTGGTTTATTTAAATGAATGATGAGATTTGATAGCCGAACTACCATACATTTTTATTTATATAATCAACAAATGACTATTTCTTTTGATTTTGAAAGCGTTGGTAATGAATGTTATAAAATATTATCCTATTGTGATAAACGTTCATATGAATATAAAGAAATAATAAATCTACTTTGTAGAAAATAATATCTAGTTCATTTCACACCAAAAAGATTAACTACTGTTGAAATGAAATGATTTGTATCTTGATATTATTAAAAAAACGAAAAAGTTATTTTTTTAAAGTAGTTATACTAAATTAATCATATTTTTATCTAATCTTAACTCTATTTTTTTCTATTTTAATATTGTGAATAATTAAAAATAAATATAAAATACAAATTAACTATTTGGTCATTCTGGTTGTAGAAAGTAAATTTAAACATGGTTATGTTTGTTCCATTAGATACACAATTCATTAAATATCACGTTTCTTTATTTATATTCATAAATGTTACTAATTAATTAGAATTATATAATAAGAGTTTAATTATAAATATAATCTAGATATAATTAAATTGACAATTTAATACATTTAATGAAATTTGATATTTATTAAATGTTCTTGGTAAATATGATTTATCAATAAATAAAAATTGAATGACTGTTTTATTAAAAACAAAATTATTTTCAAAACTGAACAATATTTTATAGATTGTTATAACTCTCTTGAAATATTTAAAATATGTTCTAACAATATTAAATATGTTCTATATATTGATTGTTGTATTTTATTAAATATCTATTAACAGAAATAGCAATATAGAAACAAAAGTTATTTACTACTAATGCTTTTTAAACAATTAAGATATCATTAACTATTTATGAATAAAGAAATTTAAATAACTATAATTGTTGTAAGAAAAAAACATAAAATATAATTTATAAATCATTAATTTACAACAATTTATAAAAGATGATACAAATAATTAGTCTACTAATTTAGTATATAATAAAAATAAAATAGTATTAGAACACATTAATTATATCATAATATTTGAATTTATGAAAGATAAATATAAAATAATGATAAAT